CACTGATGCTGGTTTTCCTGCCATTGCTGTAGTCTCTCTTCTTGTTTATTTCTTTGTACTCCAACCACTGCTGTAGTCTCTCTTCTTGTTTATTTTCTCGTTCTTCTTGTTTCTTTTCTTTTTTCCTCCAACAACTATTTAATCTCTCTTCTTGTTTATTTTGCTGTTCGAGCTGCCACTGTTGCAGGTTTTCTTGCCACTGCTGTTGTCTCTCTTCTTGTTTCTTTTCTTTTTCCTCCAACAACAGCTGTAATCTCTCTTCTTGTTTATTTTGCTGTTCGAGCTGCCACTGTTGCAGGTTTTAGCAACTGCTGTTGTCTCTCTTCTTGTTTCTTTTCTTGCTTATTTTCTCGTTCTTCTTGTTTATTTTCTCGTTCTTGTATTGCTGCCATCAAATCTGCTAAGCTGAAGTTTGATTTGCCACCTCTCGTTTCCATCTTCTTCTTCTTTTATTTCTTTTTCATCCCACTTCTGACACCAGTTTGTTACGTATCTGCTTGTTTGTTAATTTCCTGTAGAAATTATTTCCGAGGAACTTCAGCAACACAAGTTCTTTCTTAATTAAAACTAATTTATTCTTTCTCGATACAACTTTGCAATACACAGGATTTCCACAGTCACTTTAACTTAACTACTTTTATAAACACACGCTATGATTCACAGCGATTTACTTATGGTGCCTACTGTTCGCTTGACTCAATTATTTCTATCTGCAATCTATCTGCCTTTATATACTAAAAAAGAGGGCGTCTAGCAAATACTGGGATATTCGTGAGGTTCCCCGATAAGTCACGACCCTTCTAGAAACTCCAGCGTGCATGCTCTCAGCGTTGCGTGACTTCCGCTGTCGTAACAATATTTATACTATTAAGAAATATAAGTAAAAGCCATTTATTTCGACAATTGGCAAAAAGAAGAACTTATATATGTATATTATTTTCTAAATCTGAAAATTTTGTTGTTTCAAATTTTAGTTAAAGGTTCACAATCTTTAATTAACACCTTCCAGTGGCACCGCGGTATGTCTGAGAACTTACAACGTTAAAAACAGGGTTTCGATACCCTTGGTGTGCAGAGCACAGATAGTCCATTGTGCAGTTTTGTACTTAAATACAAACAGACGTAACACCTAGTGGTTGGTTTTTATTCAACATAAGCTACCTTTTTAAAGTAAATAGTTTATTTTTACATATTTCTCTATGTTTCATAGATATCCTACAAAAGGTAAAAAATATAACGAATCCTCCTTTCCGTCCTACCATTCCAACTGACGACTGTAGTCCTGATCTTATGAGTTTGATAAGTGATTGTTGGAATGAAGATCCTACTGCCAGACCAAAGTTTCCAGTTATTAAACAAAAGATAAAAAAAAATGCCAGGTAAGATATATATATCTTTTAATAAGTAAACGTAATTAAACTATTAATTTTTACAGCTGAAGTAAACTAGACTTTAAGATTCATTATTAAGGGGGATCGAGTGAGCTGCTTCATTCCTTTTAAGTTCTATAATTGGTCACTGTGATTAAAAAATCCACGTATTTGGTTTATTAAATTTGAAGCGGGAATTACTTAAGACATAATGATAAACACTCTTTGCTGAAGATGTTTTCCTATTTCTAGGATAAGAACAGATCATAAAAGGCGTCTTTTTTGTGACTAGAAACAGGAAAGGAATAAAAGGCCCCAGGCGTTTTTTAAATACATCCTCGAGGACCATTTGGCCTAAATATCCTGAATTTTGACCTTCCAGTATGACCTAAAATTACACTTTGAGCCAAAATATTTTATTAAAGAAATGGGTTTTTATCATGGTGTGGCTTTTCTTAATTAATAATATGGCAGGATAATCTCATTATCCTAAGAGGCCAGGGCGTCCTAACTCCTTTGGGGGGGGGGATAATACTGATTTAGTGAAAATAGATGGTGCCCTTTCACTAGCCCACCAGTTATTTCTGCTTACAAAGAGACTTGACTCGTAATCTGAGGGTCGCGGGTTCGAATCCCCGTCACACCAAACATGCTCGCCCTTTCAGCCGTGGGAACATTATAATGTGACGGTCAATCCCACTATTCGTTGGTAAAAAGAGTAGCTCCAGAGTTGGCGATGGGTGTTGGTGACTGCCTTCCTTCCCTCTAGTCTTTTACTGGTAAATTAGTGACGGCTAGCGTAGATAGCCCTCGTGTAGCTTTGCGCGAAACAAACTTAACCTCGTCAAAATGTCATCGGATTTAGCGATGAGTAATTTAACAACGTGAATAGCATAATTACCAGAAATATTATTTAATATAAACACTTTCATCAGTCCTGTGATGTTGGTTAACAAACGTGTGAACTATTTTACTAGATTTTGAATAAAAGCATACATTTTACTACTGTATTCATAAAACACACTTTTAATTTGTAAATATACGGGATAAACAGCCCAAAACACACCGAAACGTAAATTACTGGAGTACATTACATGAAATAAACTATTATAATTTTCCTTATCGCTAAGTTTGCGTACTTACAACGTTAAAAACCGGGTTTCGATACCCGTGGTGGTCAAAGCATGGATAACTCATTGTACAGCTCTATACGCTGCGGTGAAATGTATCTGCACTGGCCGTCTCTAATTTTAAAGTAATATATTAGAGGAAAGCAAGTTAACAGCACCCACCGCCAACTCTTGAGCTACTTTAATCAAATAGTATGTTTTGTCTGTCACTCTTATAATGTACCGGCGACCTCGAATTGCGGAGCAAATTTTTTTTTTCAACGGCGACAGGACACGAACCGTGGACCATCAGGACCACAGTTCCATAAATTTGGTTACAAAACTATAATATCGAAATATTTTTCTTTATATCACTGAGGAAAGTAGTGAGCTCGTGTTTTAGATTCTATAAAAGTTATTATGCTTTTAAAAATTTATTTCTGCAAAACTTGTTTAATTGAAACTTAAAGAAGCTAAAGTATTTTGGTGACATAATGCCCCACAAAAAACATGTAGAATCTCTTTGGGGGGTCCAGTTTTTAACAAATCACATTTTATTGTGGAATAAATCAACATTGTAGTGTGTTTGCGTTTTTAATCTTTGCACAAGTATCGTTTGATTCAGTTATGTTAGAAATGTTTCTTTTAAAGCTGCATCGTGTAGTTGATTTAATAGTGCTTGATCGATACAGTTTGGAAGTTTTTCAAAAATGTAAAATCAAACATGCGCATCTGCCGCCACAAAGGATTTTTTTTGCTCTTTGAATCGAATAAGATGATTGACTGCCACTTTTATAACCCAGCCAATGCTGAAAATACATAACTCGTTTGGCAGCACCACATCTCGAGCCTTGGACTCTTCAATCCTCAGTCCGAAACGACAGCCACCAGATCATTCCCGGAACTTGTTAGTGTGATATAATTTTTAAAATTTCTATTTTAAATAAATTGAAAGTTGATTTCTATTTATAAACAAACTCCATTATTAACAAGCAGCTCTTCTTTGTACCATGGCGGTAATTTTATGGGCTTACAACGCTAAACTCTGGAGTTCGATTTCCCGCAGTGGACAGATAGTCTATTATGTGGTTTTGTGCTAAAACCCAGAAATAATTGTGCCCGAAAAATCTGTTTTACTTGCTAGAAAAATACAACAAAAACTATTTAGTGAAAAAACGTACTTGGTACGGTGTTCTCTGAAACAAATAAGTAAGAATTATTCAATGTGTTTTTTTTTAGTTTTATTTTCAACTGAAAGGAAAACTTTATACTATTTTGATTTTCACAGGGGTTCTGGGTCTACTAATTTTCTGGACAATTTACTAACAAGAATGGAGCAATATGCTGAAAACCTGGAGAGGCTAGTCGAAGAGAAAACTTCAGCTTTCTTGGACGAAAAAAAGAAGAGCGAAGAACTTTTATATCAGGTGTTACCGCGGTGGGTGCCCCTGTTGTTCTAGTTTGTTACCGCGATGGATGCTCCTTGTGTTCTAGTTTGTTACCGCGGTGGGTGCTCCTGGTGTTCTAGTTTGTTACCGCTATGGGTGCTCCTGGTGTTCTAGTTTGTTAACGCGATGGGTGCTCCTAGTGTTCTAGTTTGTTACCGCGGTAAGTGCTCCTGGTGTTATAGTTTGTTACCACCGTGGGTACTCCTGTTGTTCTAGTTTGTTACCGCGGTGGGTGCTCCTGGTGTTCTAGTTTGTTACCGCTATGGTGCTCCTGGTGTTCTAGTTTGTTAACGCGATGGGTGCTCCTGGTGTTCTAGTTTGTTACCGCTATGGTGCTCCTGGTGTTCTAG